TAGGACTTGTGTCTAGACTTATGTCTAGTTTTCAATTTTGACCTTGAAATACTCTATATAAACTTTTTCCCATCTCTCCCAGGACTTTACAAACCTCTCTCCCTCTTGCTTTTCTCTCTGTTTCTTTCCTGCCCTCACTATTTCCAGCTCATCTTCACATTTAAAGTGTATTTGAGTCTAAATTGTTTCTCTCTGCCTTTCTGCATCTTTAGGTGTGGAGGGCATTGCCCAGGCCTACTCTGCGTGTCTCCCTCACATTCGTTTCTACGGTCCGACAAACTTTGCTCCAATCATCAACCATGTAGCACGTTTTGCTTCTCAGGCCCTTCAACAGGAGAAAGCAGCGGTGGGTGACTACAACTTACCTATTTACCTGCTTTTTACACTCTTAGTTGTTCTTTAGTTAAACCTCTCAAGACACTGTACTCCACAGATAAAACTATTTATATATAAAAGCAGGCTGTAGTCCACAATCAGCTTGACTTTTCTATCTTGTTTGAGAGGTTGACTGTGTTGCCAGAGAGGAGTTTGTGTATTCCCAAACGCAGATGCTGATTCTAACTGTAACCACTGCAAATCCAAGCTTAAACACAACCAGACTTTCACTGCAATCTGTCAGAACGCTCTCTTCTTTTGGCGCACCTGTCCATCAAGGCTGTAGGTTACATATACATACTGAGTTTGGTAACTTTATATATATCACTGCTCACTTAGTTACATCTTATTATACCGGGCAGGATCCTCTTTTACCTTCAGAACGGCCTTATTTCTCCTAGTCATAGATTTAACAATGTGCTGGAAACATTCCTCAGAGCTTTTGGTCCATATTGACATGATTGAATTTGCAGCTGCTGCACATTGATGATCTGAATCTCCTGTTCAGCATCCCAGAGGGGCTCTAATGGGTTGAGATCTGGTGGAGGGCATCTGATTACAGTGAACTCATTGTATTAAGACGAGGAATGGAGGTATGCTGCGGTGTTTATCATACAGTTGATACTGAGGTTCTGCGTAATGTGCCAAGGAAGTATCCCCTTCGTCATGAGGAGCGAATGCTTATGCAGGATTCTGAGTCTGTTCAGTTCTGGTGAGCCTCAGTTTCCTGCTCTTAGCTGACAGGAGGGACACTTGTTTTGGCCTCCAGTGTTGTGCATTCAGAGATGCTCTTCTGCACTTCATTGTAACACGTGGTTATTTAAGTTCCCGCTGCCTTCCTATCAGCTCTTAATAGTCTGGCCATTCAAAGACCTCTGGCATAAACAAGCCATTTTTGCCCAGAGAACTGCTGCTCACTATTGTCTATTTTTCTGGCCTTTTTCTATACAGGGGAGGGGGGTAGAGGCATGCTTTCACCTATCCCAGCTGTCATTATATACAACAGTTCTAAAACAGAAGTACCATTTATGTCAATAAATGGTACTTATGTCAATTTTGTTGTATATAGCCTCTCCCTCCTGAACCACGGGTGACCGTGCCACTTACTGGTGTTGGCCAGAGGGACGATGGCGCGATATGGTAGCCTCGCTTCTGTTGTAGCCAGGGCAGCTGTGGCTACAACTGTAGCTCGCCTCCATCAGTGTGTGAAAGAATAGTGGAATTGTAAAGCGCTATATAAATGCAATCCGTTATTATTACCAATTCTACATTAAGTAAAGACAGCACATTTTAAAGCTGGAGTGTATAAGTGTTACATTAAAAATTTAAAGTAAAAATGTTGAAAGATTTTTTTTCTGTTGTTATCTATGTTACCTATAGTAGCTGAGATAGGCTCCAGCCCCCCTGCAACCCTGAATGGGATAAGTGGAAGACAGTGGTTGGATGGATGGTATCTCTCACAACCTAAGGAAACAAAGAAATCATTCTAAAAAAAAAAAACTACTCTTTTCTATATTTGAATTTTCAGCCACCACACACAGCAGATAAATTCCTAAACTGGATTCCTACATTGAATCATTCAAGCCCTTTATGAAGGACCGCATACAGTGCTGAATTAGCCCGCTAGTCCCAGGTACTGTCCCTATTTCACGGTATACCAGAGTTTTACATTAGGGATCTGGAGTGACATTTCTATGCAGGACCACAGGTAGTGATGTTTTACGTCATCCAACAAGGACCGATGTGCCTCGACCTTGAGAGGGGAGCATCTGTAGTGATGGACAGCGACTTCGCTACAGCTGTGGCTGCACAGAGTGACAACAACATAGGACAGGCTCACGACAGAAAAAGAAATAGGAAGTGTTGACAATGATTTTCTGAGGCCAGGATTATACTTGCTTGCGGACGTGGACGCAGACGCTGCTGCTGCTCTATTATACTTTTTACTTTTTCTTGGGGGCTATTCAGTTAGTCAGTTCCCGTGTAGTGCCTGTCATGAAAAAATTGCTGCCACATGGGCAGGCACGCAGAGCCCTTACTTCCCTTGGATCTAAGCAGACCCTTGCATTCTCAAGAACGTGGAAATTCCAACACTGTCATGTTTATAGCATTGTGTAACTACACCAGAAGGAGATCAAATCTGTTAAAATCAGCTCAGGTGTGACAATTAAAGGTTTTAATTTTCCTTCAAATGTGAACGAACCCTGAGTTAGTGCAGCTAGCACAGCTTAGAGCTGACATTGCCCAAAGCACAGAGGGAATGTCTACACCTGTGCTGCGCTTAACAGTTTCAGAAATACACATGTACTCTCTGTGATGCTACCCAGTTTAGTTTATAAAGGAAATTAAGGAACAAAGAGAGGAAAGGTCACATAAGCAGTTAAATCAATACATGTCGTCGTCTGGGGAAATTAAACACTGACTGAAAATTTCAGGCTACTCGGAAACCTAATTCGATTTCTTTCTGATTGTTAAGCTTTTTTAATGAAGGCAAAGGTCAAGCAGGGTTCCCTCTAATGGAAGTGGTACCTAATTTAATTGATTTTGATTAAGGACATTAAAAGTCTTATTTTAGCTTGAGTTTGTACCTTTTTTTTGAGGGGGCTGGTTGCCTTTTTTGTCTTTAATTATAGTGAAATGTAATATTGTATAAATTTCAATCTTGTCATTTCCATTTTAAAAACGTATAAATGCAATTTTTGTGACATTCCATTTAAATAATTTTCTTTCTCTTTAAAACTGAACGTTTCCCAAGCACTCTAAAGAGCTCCCTCCAGTCATTTGTCTCCAAACCTATGATAACGTTGCAAGGGATTATCAAAATATAAAATAAAACTTTGATTTAATGTGAAATTATTCAATGAATTATTTTGAATCTCATGTTAGCGTGATGTTTGTGGGTTTTTGTTCATGTCCGTATGAGTTTTGCATTTGTATGCTTGAAATTAGAATGTCAGTTTCAGTTGTTGTTCATGCAAAGTACAAAATACAGCAAGTCTGTATTATTCATGAGTGTCAAAAGGTCCCCTCTCTACCTGTGAATTAATTCATATTTTGAAAGATTATAATAGAGGATCCAGGTATTAGGTAATCCTTTGACTTGGGATGGAAATTATTTTTGCTTGTGTGATTCTCTGCTAATCCAGAGAGACCATATACCCAACAGATTGCATGTTATATGTATATGTGTTGTGATTTCTTTGATCAATTGTTTGAGTATTTTCTTTATTCCCATTCAAGTCCATTGCAGTCTGATTAATAGTAGTTGTGGATTAAAACATAAAAGCTAAAGTGTAAGCAGAACCATAAAAACATAGGATGAAGCACGTTATGTTACTGTATATTCCTGGAAACAGAGACAATTATTTTACTCAATAGAAATTCTACTTCAACAAAAAAAAAGCAAAAACTTCTTAAAACTTCATTTTACAATTTAGATTTGATCAGCGATTCTTTATATGCAGGTTTTTATGTCCAAGACACCGATGAAATTAAAGTTAAATCAAAGTTAATTTTGATAGTTTTTAAAAGTAAATGTAAAAAAAGAGACATTTCTGATTGGATGCCAAGAATCAAATTAGGACTGTGCTGGAAGGCGCTCATTCACTTTGATATTTTATAGCTTCATACTTTATGGAAAAGTTGAATTTATTTATTTACTTTTAATGATTACAAACTCATTTGGTTTGCACTGAAATATCTTGAGAGCTAAAAAACCCAAATCTACCTGGTCCTATTAATCGCCCTCTAAACCTAATGAGCAGTAGACGGATTAGTCGAAGGGCCAGATGAATCTCTCAGGTACTGTGTCAGATCTGGCTTACTGGATTTTTCCTGTTTCTTGTACATGACTTTTAAATACAGTTAATCTGCCATAGATAGTTTGTAGGCCTGCCACTTCTTATTTGGGCCTCCATTTACCCAGTTTCCTCACATTTTTTAAGGACACACAGAGTTATAAAAAAATAAACATTCACCTTAGTAAGTCTGTAAACTATCTATATAGGCCAAACATGGGAGTCTGTGGGCGTCGACTGACTGATGCCTTCTTTCACCTTATGTTTTATTGTGATTCTGTGTCACAGGTATTTAGGCTCTTTTTTGATTCAATCTCAGTTTTTGTCATTTTTCTGCTTTTGCTGTTCGATGGTGCTCTGCCCTTTATGGCGTGCAGTTAGTAAGTTTCCCTTCATTCAATTTAGTAGCCATATGTATACATATGTCATATCTCACACCAGAGAAATGCAAACATTACACTAATATTTATTTACTAACCAGTAATAGTCGACAGGGAATGCCTGTCAGGGAAGTTGATACTCACAATTTATCTACACTGATGGCTGACGGAGCTAACAAGTGTGTGCATCTGTTGGCTCGGTCTCCTGGTATGTAGATCAGCGTGTCAGGAAGGAAGGTGGCAGACTGGAGTGACGACGTCTGTCCTAGCTTCTTCTATCTTACACCTCATTGCAGCTGAGACACTGACCAGGGAGGCTTCTTGTTTTTTCATTCTCGTGCCAGTGGCTCGGTTCTGGGTAGGACTCAATCAGTCGCTGCTGGATGGACTTGTTTAAAGTTTGTCTGTGATCATCGGCTTTTGACACTGTTGACCACCACATCCTCCTCGAAAGGCTTAAACATTGGGTTGGTGTATCGGGTACTGCCTTGGAGTGGTTCTCCTCATATCTACATAACCGATCTTTTTCTGTGGTGGTCCCCGATTTTAGGTCATCTTCTACCTCCCTTACTTGTGATGTCCCTCAGGGTTCGGTTTTGGGGCCTTTAATGTTCTTAATATATCTTCTCCCATTCCAGCATTTAATGGGCTCTTTTGAGGACATCTCTTATCACTGTTATTCTGATGATATTCAGTTGTACATCTCTTTTAAGCCCCAGGATTTATCTAAGCTTCAGCTTTTAAATGACTGCTTAGATTCTATCAAACATTGGATGGCTGTAAATTTCCTCCAACTCAACGAGGGGAAAACTGAAGTCCTCATATGTGCTCCGGACAGATTTGTATCCCAGATAGTGAAAGCCCTTGGTCCTCTTTCTGTGAATGTTAAATCCTCTATCAGGAATTTAGGTGTCACTTTTGACTCGACTCTTACATTGGATGGGCATGTGAAATCTCTGGTTCAGTCTTGTTTTTATCATTTAAGAAATGTGGCTAAGTTAAGCCCTATTTTATCTCGCCCTGAACTGGAGATTGCTATACATGCATTTATTTCCTCACGCTTGGACTATTGTAACTCTTTGTTTATGTGTCTAAGCAAAGGTTCTCTGGATCGTCTGCAGGTTGTGCAAAACGCTGCAGCTAGACTGTTGACAAAATCCTCCAAGTAGTCACATGTGACACCATTGCTATTTCAGCTATACTGGCTTCCTGTTGAATTTAGAGTACATTTTAAGATCCTGGTCTTGACATTTAGAGCCTTGCATGGAATGGCACCTCCCTACATCTCCGATCTGCTACAGCCCTATGTCCCTAGCAGGTCCCTGAGTTCATCTGATCAGGGCTTACTTGCTATAGAACAGACTAAAATGAGAACTAAGGGTGACAGAGCTTTTGCCACCGTGGCCCCGAGACTATGGAACTCTCTCCCTCATACATTAAGAACTGTGGACTCGGTAGTTGTTTTCAAAAAACAACTCAAAACTCACCTTTTTAAAACTGTTTTTGGTTCAATTTCTGCCTGTTTTATATTGTCTGTTTTACCCTTTTATTATTTGTTATCTTATGTGCAGCAATTTGTGATTTCTGTCTAGAAAGGTGCTATATAAATAAAATTTTATTTATTATTTATTTTATTTATCTTTTATTTTTAGTTCATTTTAGATAGCCTGAGCGATCTTATCATAAGCGCAGTTGTGCTTGCAGCAGTTCTACTGTAATGCTGGGTACTTTCGAGACACATATACATCCCAAACACCTTTAGCAGCAGAAAAAGTCATGAAGAGCATATTTCAGCTGAGCTTGCCTGATCTGAATTGGCTTTCATGCAAAAAAACGACTGAACTGCAACATGCTGTACTTCCAGTGGCTTATTATATGTCAGTGAAGCTAACACCTAAAACCCAAAATAAGAGCAACCCTAAGGCTCTATGACACATCCAAAAAAGACGTTCTATTTTGGCAGCGTTTCTTGGTAGAGTGTTCCTCGAACACCAGGACCGACACATTCTTATGATTTATCGTAACTTCCTTTTATGATATTTATCTTTGTGTCAAAAACAGGATTATGCCACGTTGCTCTTCTGCTGCTTTTTAAACACTATAGAGTATACAAAAACAAACAAAAAGCACCGGAGCAGAGACAGTGTTCTCATGCATAAGGCTCCACGTGATGTTGTCATTGGTATGAGTATATAGATGTGCAGCACTCGCTGAAGTTTGGGATCTACAAACTTTAAACATATACATGTCCTTCTCCAGTACATATCCACTGGCATTCCTACTGCCTATATGTGACGAGAGTGTAGTGGCTGGGTATCATTATGCTCCCACGGTGCTTTTTGTCCCTAATTGTACCCTGTCACCCTGTGGAGAAAAAATACATGAGCAGAATACACAAAGGCTTGTACTCGTCTGTGTGTTGTGCGCCAGAATCCTTTTGTTTCTGTAAGGAAATGATTGCAGACCCTTTTCTTGTCTTATATTACAGCGAGTTCAAACACGGGTTGAAATTAGGAAGGAATAACAGACAATGAGGATGTAACAGCTGCAGCACAAATGCGCGTGCGTGCGTGCGCACAGGCTACACGCTGAGTTACTGGTTAGACTGGTGTGTGTTGGAGAAAGTCAGTGGGTAGGCTTCACAAATCAGCTACTCCTCAGCCTTGGCGTTTCTGTTTCTCAGATAATGAGAGAACCTGCGACTGCAGACTGTGCGAGTGTGTATGATCACGCTCCTGCCAGTGACACGCGTACACACCCAGGCTGCAGGCCAGCGCAGTCTGTGCGTGCCTCAGTGTGTGAGCGACCCTGTCTGTCTGTGTGATAATGATTCTCTAATGAGCGCTGCTGTTAGCACATTAAAGAGACAGGCTTCAGAGTCGTCCTCGCGTGTGTGGCTGTTTGCGTGTCACGTGGAAGTGCGATTTTCTTCCAAGAAAAGTCAGTGTGCATCGTCACCTTGTCTGTTCTCATCGTAGGACAACCATTTGCATTTCATTATGCAGAATTGACGCATGCTATTTTGTGCCAGAGAGAGATATAGTCCAGCAGTTATGTATTTGGACAGTTTTATTTGGGTTTTTTGTTATAAAATAATCCCACATTAAAGCATGTAGTCTTAGCTTCTTCTTCTTTTTAAATACATTTGCATCAGAACACAGAAAGAACTATTGGAGATGTAGCTTTTTAAACACATTCTGCATCCTGCTCAGTGATGAAACGTCGTCCACTGAGTTTTGATGCATCCTTATTGTTTTTCTTCTGTCAGCAAAGACACATTTGCACCCATACATGCTGGACTCGTAACACCACCCCCCACCATTTTTCAAAGGTGCTTTGGTCAGCCTGGGGTCCTCAGCTACATTCATATCTATATTTTGATAGAGGGTGAACATTTGAATTATGAATTTTGTTAAAGTTGACTAGAAGTTAGCATGAAGGTCTCCTGGGAGCATCCTGGGAGGCAACTACAATGCAAATAATCTTATGCTCATCCACAAGTCTTGTTCTCATCTGTTTGGCTACTTTTTTCTTGTTTTGTAGTTTTCTTACTCTTTTAGAACTCAGTTTTTTCTTTTCACTGTTGCCAGGTGTTTGCCTATTGGGGTCTCAATAATACGGTAGTCTTTATCTTGGAGTGCCTTAAGGCAACTGTGTTTGTGATGCTATAGAAATAATCTTGAATTGATCTGAATTTACTTTAACGCCGAAACTAAGTTACAATAAATCCAGCCATTTATCTTTCACTTCCATTATTTTGTCATGATTTTTTCTTTTCATTGGCACAGATGGAGTTCAGATGGAGTTCAGCTTGATGAAATGCAGAAAGGCTTTATTTCTGCGTTGTATTTGACTCTTCTTCACCATCACTCGTAATAATATCTGTTTTGTTTTGTTTTTCTAGCACTCTTTTTCCCCTTCATCCGCAATATGCGACTCTGTTTACCATTATTCACAGCATAATGATCATTACTGAATTTGTGTTTCAAGTCTTTTTGTAGTTGTAGATTCATCTTCAAGAGCTCAACTAAAAATAACTTTTTGTTGTTTGCTAATTCTTCTCATTTTTTCTCGCACCATCCTTCTTCCCCTCTGCAGCAGTACTTTACACTGCTCATTATAACAGACGGTGTCATCAGCGATATGGATGAGACGCGCGACGCTATTGTGCAGGCATCGAAGCTACCCATGTCCATCATCATCATTGGCGTGGGCAATGCCGACTTTGCCGCCATGGAGTTCCTGGATGGGGACGCCAGCGTTTTGAGGTCCAGCACAGGAGAGGAGGCTGTTCGGGATATTGTGCAGTTTGTCCCTTTCAGGGATTTCCGCAACGTAAGTATTGGTTTCAGTAGATACACACAAATATGTATAAACACCCAGTCTGATATGTTCTTATTCTCCAAATTGGCTGATGCTGCCCTCGAATACATGTAACACGAAATTCTTTCTGTTTACATAAAAAGAATTCAGTTTCTTCTCATAATCTTGCAGATTTCACATAATACACAAGGCTGAAATGTGTTCATTTTAATGAGGCTTCATACATGCTTGCTGCAGGTCAGCACACTGGTTAATTAGTGTGTGCACATTTTCAGGATGTGCACAGGAGGGCTCATTAGGGCATTTTGGGTTTTGTCATCGTCTTTTTATGTGTTTATTTTGTGTGTGTGTGTGTGTGTGTGTGTGTGTGTGTGTGTGTGTGTGTGTGTGTGTGTGTGTG